AGATCAGACATACATGGGCAAGACACATGACAAGAATTGGTGACTGTGGTCATTCGCAACCCTGAGTCGCGCTACCTTAATGGAGATAAGAGGTAACATGAGGATTGGTTCAGGTGGAGGGAAAAAAAGGCACTTCAGAGTTACCTTCCCACCAGGAGGGCAGCTTTGCTCCGCAAAAAAAAAACACCTCAGACAGAGATGCAACAGACTTCAGACATTACACAACATAAGTGTCCACTAGGAGGGGTGGTGGGTTGGGACTATCCACACTTCAGTTCCTGCAGCCACGATGAAGCAGCGCATTTCACCTCAGTGTGTGTGTGTGTGGGGGGGGGGGTAATAAAACCCCTACGTGGTGAGCTGTCCCTTCAGGTAACCCTGAATGGGAGAATGAAAATACCTAACATTTTGCACAATTAAATCCTTAATTTTGATTTTATTATCAGCATTTGTATAATCACTTGCTACTTGGAAACATCTTTCTTCCTATTATTTTCCTTCATAGTGGCCCTGATAGGGTTTAGATGATAGATTATTATTTTAATCACCAGTTAATATGTAATCTTTTCCTCCACCATCTGATCCAAGGACCACTCCTCTTTCATAATCCCTTCCAATCGATAAGACACCATTAGCTCTGTTAGGATTAGGGTGATGAAAGCATCTTTTCTTTTGGAGCTCATTGGTTGGTTGTTTTGATCCTCTCCGATGCTTGATCATGGGTGGTTTACTCACTTCCTGTCTGCTGTTTTGGATCATAAAATAAATCACTGCATTTGGATTCTGTCTTGTTTGCATCTTTTATATTTTCTAGTGGTGATGTCTGCTGTTACTCCAGGTGGTAGTTGGTATATTTGATGGACGGTTCTGGTTGAGAGTAAAATAAACCCTTTTAGATGTCTGTTTGCGTGATGTTGTGCTGATAACTGTCGAGGACCCTCTTCATGTGTATTCCTGCGTGATTTGAGTAACATTAGGGATCTCCATTGATCTCTTTTTTTGTTCTTGTGCAACTTGTTGGAGCTTTTGTCTGGGTTCACTTCTTGGAAAGAAATTTTCAGTGAGCTGGAAGCTGATGGGGTCACTGAGCTTTTTGCTTTACAGCCCCACAGAGGATCCTGTGTGAGGTCCAGGGTTCAGAGGTAATTTGGGGGTGAAAAATAAAGTTCTAGAGCTAAACCAGCACGTTTCAGTATTACAGGAAAGTTAAATGTCTTAATGTGGATGAATCGGAGCTTCGTTATTCCTCAAATCTAACAGAAAAGGGTCCATTTAACATAATAAATGGGATAAGCTGATATGTGGTGGTGCCATGTTACAAAGTTAAAGCCTGTTACCTAATTTTTCTTTAACATATAGAAGGATTAACCCCTTCAGATGTACCATTTTGTTTCTGAGGGGGTCCTCCATTACATATTCATAACTAAAGGAGAATATTAAAGGAGTGGGTGACTCATTTAATCAACACATTTGCAGTGGTCTCTAGTAGAAATTAATGCCTTGTAAGTCGTTTCCAGGGGGAACAGATATGCCGGTGCACCATTCCTCTGACCTAAAATCTGCCCACACCACAGATGAGCTTCAGACGACGAGTGTTGGAGTCACGTTTCCTGAAATTTGGACATCTTGCCTCTGACTAGATAACAGCAACGTGACTCCACCGCTGACTTGCAACATGGATGTTTTATCTCAATAATACAAGCCTGGAGAAGCTTCTGTTGTGTGGTGGTGTTGCTAATGCTAACCGTTAGATTAAACCAGCCAAGAAATCAGCAGGTGATTCCCAGACGTTAAAACAACGGCCTTCCCCGTAGTGAGTGAAGATGGGTGAGTCCTTGAATGTTAATTCACAGTGTGACGTAGATCTGTTTTCACCATCTATTTTCTATCAGAAGCTAAAGAAGGAGAGAGATGTAGGAGACTGTTCATGTTCAGCCTGTATGAAAAACTCTGAGTGACTGATCAGAATCAGAAAAAACATTTAAAAAATGTTTTTCTGTCAACTGCAACTTTAAGATAGTTGAAAAATAGCATTCCAAACAGAAAATGCAATCACTTATTTATAGCTAACACCTGTCACGTTGTGAGCCTGGAGGAGGTTTGGACCCAAAATGCAGACACCCAGAACGACATGAGGCAGGAGTGGATGTAAATGACAACATTCCTTTATTAGGAAGGAGAACAAAAAATTTCAAAAGGGCAGGAAGCCAAAAACAAATGTCCTGAAACCCTGGAGAACGAAAGCTCACTTAAGAGCACAAAACCTACAGACCTCGTGACGAGGAACAAAACAACGCTGACACCAAACAATGGACTGACAAAACACTAAGACACAGACAGGGTTTTATACACTGGGGAGGATGAGAGGGAGATGAACTGCAGGTGTGTAGGGAGATAGACCAGGTGAACTCAATTACTAATCAGGGAGGAAACTAACATTACCTAAGAATAAAACCTAAAGACAAGAGCAGGAAACATAACTAATAATCTAAGGGGGGGAGAAAAACCTCAAACACCAATGGGAAAAACACACTAGAGGGACTAATAACATGAACAGCTGTAGCTAAAGGAAAATGACCTAAGCGAAAAACCTAAAGACCAGAAGGGCAGCAAACATAACTAATATTCTATATTACACATATCAGGACCCGCTGCAGTTTGCTCATCACCATGGAGTTGGAGTTGAAGATGCCATCATCCAGCTGCTTCAACCAATCCACTGTCATCTGGACAAAGCAGGCAGCACTGTAAGGGTCATGTTTTTTATTTCTCCAGTGCATTTAACACAATCCAGCCTGATGTACTTTGCCAGAAACTCCAGAAGACACAGGTGGGGGCCTCAACTATGGCCTGGATTAAAGACTACCTGACAAACAGACCACAGTTTGTGAGGCTGAAGAACTGCACATCAAACCAGGCGATCAGTAACATTGGAGCACCACAGGGGACTGTACTCTCACCATTCCATTTCACCCTGTACACCTCAGACTTCCAGTACAAACCAGAGACCTGTCATCTACAGAAATACTCAGATGACTCTGCAGTTGTCGGGTGTATCAGAGATGGACAGGAAGCTGAGTACAGAGAGCTGGTGGAGCGCTTTGTGGCATGGTGTGGAAACAATCATCTGACCTTGAACGTAAACAAAACAAAGGAGATGATTTTAGACTTCAGAAGAAACAGGGTGGAGTCAAACACTGTTTCCATCATGGGAGAAGAAGGGGAGGTGGTTGAGGATTACAAATACCTTGGAGTTCACCTGGACAACAGACTGGACTGGAGAAAGAACAGCGAGGCCGTTTACAAGAAGGGACACAGCAGACTGCACTTCTTGAGGATGCTTAGGTCCTTCAATGTCTGTAGCAAGATGCTGCACATCTTCTACAAGTCTGTTGTTGAGAGTGTAATCTCTTCAGCCATCGTCTGTTGGGGTAGCAGCATCAGAAGCAGGGACCTGAAAAAGCTCAACAGCCTAATAAAAAAGGCTGGTTCTGTTCTGGGGACGACTGTGGAACCACTGGAGGAGATAATGCAAAGAAGGATTCTCCAGAGAATCAAGAAAATGATGGACAACCCTGAGCATTCTCTTCACAAGACTGTCCGACAACAGAAGAGTGTCTTCAGTCAGAGGCTTCTTCAGTTTGGCTGCAACACTGACCGCTACTGGAGATCCTTCCTGCCAACAGCCATTGTAATATACAATAACTCTTTGATGACTTGATTATTATTATTCTGAGCTACTACAGCAATCAATTTCCCTCTGGCATTAATAAAGTATTTTTGAATTGAATTGAGTCATTTCTTGAGGCTTTCAGTGAAGTAAATGTGACTCAAGTCCAAATTTCTGATTGAAGCCTTCATCTCTGCCCCAGGGTTTGCTAATGGTCTTTAATTTCTTAACCTATAACCAATTCTATAATTACCCTGCATCTTATTTGATAGGACTATTTTTAGAAGCATATCTTTACTAAGATCCAGACTTTTCTCTAAATTTGCTGTTTTTAATCCTTTTTGCCTTTTCCTCTGATAGGAATACTACAGCTGGTGAATGTCATATTTATTATTATTAGTAGAAGTAGCATTATTATCATGAGGGTATATACATAGATTTGAACGGTCTACCACTTTCTGATTGTTGAAATTCTTAAAGTAGTATTAAGCATTGTCACGGTTCAACATAAACTGAAACACTGTAAAAACGACTTTAGTTCTGGAGTTTATGTACATTATGTACTCTCTTCATGTGAATTAAAGGCAAAAAGAAAAAAGCCTGAAAATCTATTAATCCTCATCAATTGTTAAATCTTTAGAAATTCAAATGATTACACAGATTTTCAGTGTGGTCAGAGGTCGGAGTGATCCCAGTTTGGACAATCAGGGAGGTATTCTCATAGAGAAGTCAGTCAGGCTCGAGCTAATCCCAGAGCTCATTTCAGCCAAAAATAAATAAATAACTCAAACCTCCAACTGAATTCAGGAGAAGCCCAGTTTTACATCAAGTATTTGTATTATATCATTAGAGTTGTTATTTGTGGTTCTTTGCAATGTTTCTATACCATGTTAGATCACACTTTGCAAGAGAAGGTTAAGCTTTATCTTGTTGTCTTATGCAAATGTCCCTAACCCATTTGCTTAAACTACAAGGTGTCGCCTACATTAGTCTAGAATTTGTTTTTCTCCTTTTATTGAATTTTTCTAAAAGTGTTTTAAAATATCAAAAGATACTTTTAATCAAGTGTCTAAAATGGCCATGCTACAAGGGGACTAAAATATTAACAAAAAAGCTAATTAAAGAGATGGAACCATCTTAGCTGGACCTAAGATTCTCCCAACCTTTTCCTTTGACACTGTTTTCAGGAACGTAACATTGATCTGAAGTGAAACAAGATAAAAATGCTGGTAAATTCTGGTTTTCTGGCACCACTCATAGCAGTTCAGCCAGAGCAGCAACAGAATTAGCCTGCATTTCTTTTCCAACCGTCTTGTTGTGTTTGTCACAGCTGTGCTCTCCATCGCGGGAAACCTGCTGGTGCTCATCATGGCGTTCAAGAGATCCTCGAGGATGAAGCCACCAGAGCTGCTGAGCGTGAATCTGGCGATCACCGATCTCGGAGCGGCTGTCACCATGTACCCGCTGGCCATCGCCTCTGCCTGGAGCCACCGCTGGCTTGGGGGACACATTTCATGCGTTTATTATGGCCTGGCAGGCTTCTTCTTTGGCATCGCTAGCATCATGAACCTCACGGTGTTGGCCATCGTGCGCTTCATGGTGTCCTTTAATCTGCACTCACCCAGTAAGTAAATCACAGCCTCGGGAAATTAACTCAACCCTAAAAATCAATTCAGTTCAATTCAAATTCAAAGATACTTTTTTTTTTATCCCAGAGGGAAATTAGAGCACAACAAATGCAGCAAAGCCTTTTCAGGAACGTGTTTTCGCCGCTTGTCAGATGAAAAAAAAACTGTAACAAAAGCAGTCAAGCTGAAATTGTGGAAAGCTGTAAAACCTTTCCAGGAAAAACAGTGTTGTTAGATCGACAGATCAAAGCTGGTATTTTTAATTATTAAGGTTCCTTTAGAAGGGTTCACTCTTTTGTCCTAAACAACAAGATCCTAAAGGCTGACTGGAACTGCAGGTGATGAAATAAAAGCTCTTTTTTTAGTTGTTAGAAGGATAAGATTTGTGAGTAGTTTTCCAGAATAACACAGAATGAGGTCCACCACTGCCATGTTTTTATTTAAGAGACCTAAATGATTTCAACAAGGCACTCAATACCAGAAGGAGAATGGACAAACGAAACAAACTGCTGGGCAACCAGTACGTGAAATATCCAGACCAGAAACAAAGGACTAGCCTTACTGGGAGTGACGGTTACTAGATGAGAAGCAGGTGTGCGGGTTCAGTGACTGAACAACTGAATAGACAACAAATATGGCCTCCAGCAGAAAACCTGACAACACATAAGAAATCAAAGAAACTTAAACATGTTCCTCAGTCATTTTAAACAAATCAAGAAGAAGCACAGAAAGACTTTGACACTAACCAGTTTTGTTGGAGCCATGAAGGGTGCCACTCCACTAATGAAAAATAAAATCTGGGTCATATCCAAGGGGGAACCTTCGCCTACCAAAAGTGAATGGATCCACAAAGGACCAAGTTTCCATTGACTCCCATGTTAAAAATGCCACCCTCACATATGAGCATGTTTGGTTCAAAAAGCAGTTTAGGTTTAATAGGGCAAGTTTACCGTCATGACAACTAAGCTTGAAATTTTGAATAGTTCGTGGTGTGTTGTTTAGACTGACATGTAGCAGATTGCCCGTCTTCTTGCTCAAGGGAAGACTTCAGCCTCAGCCCTAAATTAAAAGTGTTACAGCCAGTAGGGGACAGGGTAGCAGAGTTGCTTAACCACAGTTTTCAGCCTAAAAGTGTCTGCCAACCCCTGTTAGCTTGGTTAGCTCCGTTAGCTCGTAGCTACATGAGCTCAGAGTTTGATGGGTGTCGATCATCTGCCTCCACCCTCACAGCCCTGCTCTGAGCTTCATTTTTGTATTTTCCAGAAGTGATGAGACGTATGACACGACCAAGAAGACAGTGGTTGGAAACGCCCATAGGGCCATCAAATAGGCCGTCGATTGGTCATATCATGAAGACAGTGGGCATGTCATTATAGAATCATCTTCCCATGGTCTTGGATGGGGGGGGGGGCGTTTATTAATGATGTGGAACTTGGTCACAACTAAGTCACGACCCCATCATCAGCATCTTTTAGCACATAGCTGCACCCTCATGGGGTTTGAGACTCATGCCAGACGTGGGAGTGCATGGTGGGACTGTGTTAACTTGTTGCTGATGTATATATAAAAAGGAGCGAAGGTGCAGGAGATAATCTTGGAGGATTTGATGGTACAAAGAGCGTAATGTCAAACAGGTTGTTGACTGAGAAACGTGTCCAGCGTCCAAGTGGCTGGCTGCAGTATACACTTAAGTCCCGCCCCCTTTTTATTTAAGCTTTCTGACTAAAAAAATAAATCACAAATTATCTTATTTTTCTAGTTGACCTTTTTTCACCTGGTATTTCTTTGTTAAATTGTAATAAAATGTAGACCTTAACTTTACTGTCACGTTCTGAGGATGTTAGGACCCAAATATGCAGTTACCCAGGATGACACGAGGCAGAGATGATGAAAAGTAAAATTCTTTATTTTGAAGGCGGAACAAAAGTAAATCCAGGCAGCGAGCCAGAAGTCCAAAATTCCAGATAAGCTCTGGAGATCAAAAACTCTAGAAAGTCCAAGGGGCAAAGAACACTGGTAATCCAAACGAGACGAGACTGACAGAATAACAAACATTCAATGGACCGACAAGAACACAGAGACAGACAGGGCTTAAATACGCTGGGAGAAGTGATTAGGGAAAATGGGAGCAGGTGTGTGAAGTGAGCTGGAGGGAAGACAGGTGAACCTAATAATCAAAATGGGCAAACAGAAACAGAGGAGGGCCAAATAAACCTAAGAAACTCTAAGACACCAAAACTAAATCTAAAGGCTGCGGGAAGGACTAATACACACACACCAAGGCACTAATATATAAACGGGAAAGGGGAATGGACAAGCACACACACACACAGAACAACACACACACACACACAAACACACAAACTGAGCAGGAGACTGGATCTCACACACACACGTTGAGCTGGGGACAAGGAAGCTGGGGACTACAAGGACACAGAATGTAAACGAGACCTGGAGGACCTGGGGAAGAATGAGATGACACAAAACCTGGGAGGACTAGACTTAAAGGACTATAAACATAAGACACTAAACTGACACGCAGAAAAAGGACACATGAGGGCGCCAAAGAGCTACAGCATAAGACACACAACAGGGATACAGACAAGGACACATGAGGGCGCTAAAGGGCTACAACACAAGGGGAGAACATGGAGTGGAGCACAAGAGGAGCTGGGGAACAAAGAGACACAAGAGGGAATCTAGAGAGGGATGGAGGACACCAGGAGACACATGGGGAAGACAGACGCAGACCATGACAGTACCCCCCCCTCTAAGGGCGGATACCAGACGACCACAAGACAGACAAACACCACAAGCAAAAGACAAGACCAAAACCAGACACGAAACAACCAGAGGGAGGGAGAGGAGGGAGCAAACAAAACACAACCCAAAAAGGGGCGGGCGAGGAGGGAACAGAAGAGTCTGGGGGGCCGGCGACGGGGAACCAGGAGCTGGGACTGTAGGAGTCTGGGGGGCCGGCGACGGGGAACCAGGAGCCTGGACTGTGTCAGCCTGGGGGGCCGGCGACGGGGAACCAGGAGCCGGGACTGTGGGAGTCTGGGGGGCCGGCGACGGGGAACCAGGAGCCTGGACTGTAGGAGTGTGGTGATAGGGGAAACTGGACCAAGACTAAGACTGAGAGGGAAAACTGGACCAAGACTAAGACTAAGAGGGGACACAGGACCAAGACTAAGACTAAGAGGGGACACAGGACCAAGACTAAAACTAAGAGGGGACACAGGATCAAGACTAAGACTAAGAGGGGACACAGGATCAAGACCAAGACTAAGAGGGGACACAGGAACAAGACCATGACTAAGAGGGGACACAGGACCACTACCGACAGGGGACTCTGGACAAAGACCACGACTACGAGGGGACACAGACTGGGGAACTTCAGACTGGGGAACTTGAGGGGGCGTAGACTGGGGAACTTCAGACTGGGGAACTTGAGGGGACGTAGACTGGGGAACGTCAGCCTGGGGAACTTGAGGGGACGTAGACTGGGGAACGTCAGCCTGGGGAACTTGAGGGGACGTAGACTGGGGAACGTCAGCCTGGGGAACTTGAGGGGACGTAGACTGGGGAACGTCAGCCTGGGGAACTTGAGGGGACGTAGACTGGGGAACGTCAGCCTGGGGAACTTGAGGGGACGTAGACTGGGGAACTTCAGACTGGGGAACTTGAGGGGACGTAGACTGGGGAACGTCAGACTGGGGAACTTGAGGGGACGTAGACTGGGGAACGTCAGCCTGGGGAACTTGAGGGGACGTAGACTGGGGAACGTCAAACTGGGAGGCTTGAAGTGACTGGAAGGCTTGAGGTGACTGGAAGGCTAGAGACTGGGAGGCTTGAGGTGACTGGAAGGCTTGAGGTGACTGGAAGGCTAGAGACTGGGAGGCTTGAGACTCGGGAGGCTGGGAGACTAGAACACTCGAGATGGGAACACTTGAGGCTTGGGGATCTGGAACACGTGTGGGGAGACTTGAGACAGAGATGTCCGCTTCAGAGCAGAGACTCGAGACGTCTTCTTCGGGGCTCGAGCCGGGTGCGTCCACTTCGGGGCTCGAGCCGGGTGCGTCCACTTCGGGGCTCGAGCCGGGTGCGTCCACTTCGGGGCTCGAGCCGGGTGCGTCCACTTCGGGGCTCGAGCCGGGTGCGTCCACTTCGGGGCTCGAGCCGGGTGCGTCCACTTCGGGGCTCGAGCCGGGTGCGTCCACTTCGGGGCTCGAGCCGGGTGCGTCCACTTCGGGGCTCGAGCCGGGTGCGTCCACTTCGGGGCTCGAGCCGGGTGCGTCCACTTCGGGGCTCGAGCCTGGTGCGTCCACTTCGGGGCTCGAGCCTGGTGCGTCCACTTCGGGGCTCGAGCCTGGTGCGTCCACTTCGGGGCTCGAGCCTGGTGCGTCCGCTTCGGGGCTCGGGCCGGGAGCGTCCTCTTGGGGGCCCGAGACGGGAGCGTCCTCTTGGGGGCCCGAGACGGGAGCGTCCTCTTGGGGGCCCGAGACGGGAGCGTCCTCTTGGGGGCCCGAGACGGGAGGCATCGACTTCTGGCCCGGGGGCCCGTGGACGGCCTGGACCAGAGCCCGTGTGTCCTCCACTGCCGAGGCAGGATGCGATGCGTCCTCCTGGACCATCACGGAGACAAGGTGCGATGCGTCCACCTGGACCACCGCTGAGGCGAGGTGCGATGCGTCCACCTGGACCACCGCTGAGGCGAGGTGCGATGCGTCCACCTGGACCACCGCTGAGGCGAGGTGCGATGCGTCCACCTGGACCACCGCTGAGGCGAGGTGCGATGCGTCCACCTGGACCACCGCTGAGGCGAGGTGCGATGCGTCCACCTGGACCACCGCTGAGGCGAGGTGCGATGCGTCCACCTGGACCACCGCTGAGGCGAGGTGCGATGCGTCCACCTGGACCACCGCTGAGGCGAGGTGCGATGCGTCCACCTGGACCACCGCTGAGGCGAGGTGCGATGCGTCCACCTGGACCACCG